GGATTATATAGACTGCAGCTATTGTTGCACTTTATTGGACTATTTTTAGGAAGCTGTGCTAGGGATTATATAGACTGCAGCTATTGTTGCACTTTATTGGATTGTTTTTAGGAAGCTGTGCTAGGGATGATATAGACTGCAGCTATTGTTGCACTTTATTGGACTGATTTTTAGGAAGCTGTGCTAGGGATTATATAGACTCCAGCTATTGTTGCACTTTATTGGACTGTTTATAGGAAGCTGTGCTAGGGATTATATAGACTCCAGCTATTGTTACACTTTGTTGGACTGTTTTTAGGAAGCTGTGCTAGGGATGATATAGACTCCAGCTATTGTTACATTTTATTGGACTGTTTTTAGGAAGCTGTGCTAGGGATTATATGGACTCCAGCTACTGTTACATTTTATTGGGATGTTTTTAGGAAGCTGTGCTATGGATTATATAGACTCCAGCTATTGTTACACTTTATTTGGACTGTTTGTAGAAAGCTCTGCTATGTTTGGTTTCATTTCAATTTCATTTTTCTTCAAACAACTAATTTTTACTCTTCTGGATTATATTCTACTGTGTTATAAGACGAAATAAAATAAAAGTATATGTGTATATAGACCCGGCATGGCTAGGTGGTTATTGCGCTCGACTAGTAATCTGAGGGTCGCGGGTTCGAATCCTCGTCACACCAAACATGCCAACCTCCGCCTTTGCCTAGTCCCAAGTCCGTAAAAATCAACCTGCGTTACAAGTAACTACAACAGCACCTCCCTATGCTCCACTGGGAGTTTACAGGAATAAAAAAAAAAATTACGTGTATATATATATGTGTGTTTGTTTGTGTGTGCAAACGTCAGAACATGCCTTTAAAATAATTTGGATGAAATTTCAATGCAATTAAATTCTTATTGGGATTACTCAAGCAAACTGAGCCCTTGTGAAAAATATAAAAGTATATACAAACAATTTCTTGTTTCTTCGGTTGTTTTTTTGTTTGTTTGTTTTTCATTGAATTTCACGTAAAGCTATTTGAGGGCTATCTATGCTAGCAGATCCTAATTTAGCAATAATAGATAAGGTGAAAGACAGCTAGTAAATACCATCCACCGCCAACTCTTGGGCTACTCTTTTACTAAAGAGTAGTGGGATTAACCGCCAATTTATAACATCCCCACGACTGAAAGGACAAACATGTTCGGTGACTCGGATTCTAACCTGCTACCTGCAGATTACCATTAAGTAAACTTTCATAAGTTCATAAGTTCTGCACAGTTAAATACTTTTATTGATAGACTAGTAGGATTTTCTTCTGTATCATTCACTAAGCCAAATATGTATATTAACGAGCTTAGTTTCACTAGAAAAGCTATAATCCGGGTTTCGATACCCGTGGTGGGCAGAGCGCGGATAGCCCATTGTGTAGCTTTGTGCTTAATTACCAACAAACAAACAAACAAACAATTTACTAGAAAAATAAATATATTAGCAAGCTTATTCTTAATTGAAAAATAAATATATTGATAGGCTTAATCTTACAAGAAAAGAATTATATTACTTAGTTTGCTAGAAATATATATATATATATAATATATATATATCTTACTAGAAAAATATATGTATTAATAGGCTTTTTGTGACTAGAAAAATAAATATATTAATAGGCTTAGTCTTACTAGAAAAATGAATATATTAATATGCTTAATCTTACTAGCAAAATAAATATATTAATAGGCTTAGTCTTATTAGAAAAATAACCATGTTAATAGGCTTAATCTTATTGGCAAGTAAATATGTTAACAGGCTTATTCTTACTAGCAAAATATATGTATTAACAGACTTACTTTTACGTTTGTTCTGGCTCGCTCTTCTAGTGCTCCCAGTTACAGAATACTTTCTATCATCAGAGTTGAAAATGCTATTAAGAATACTAACTAATTATTACTGTACGTGCATGTTTAATTTTTGTTATATGTAAGGATAACTAGTAATTAAAAAATATATTAGGATAACGCTTTTCATATACATATACCTTCATTTAACTATTATTTATGGTGCGTTAGTGGTAACACTGAAAGCTAATAACGCTTAAATTGAGGGTTCAATCCCTGCAGTGCAGGCAGCCCACTGATAACAAACAAATAATTTCTAGTATATTCTGTAACGAAAACATGCTGGGTGATTATTAACACATAAATGTTTCTAGATATCATTGCTGGTATGCATTCAGTAATATCTTTTCGTCTTCGTGTCAGGATCAGTGGAGATATTAAAATATCACATTAAGTATTATTCAGGAAAGCGAATGTCTATATTGTACATTTGTTCCGCCGTGTTATTAGAATGATCGGTAAAGCAGCATTGCCTCAAGTGACTAGCCCTTTCCATAGGAAACTCAACTTTATGCTGTTCTTGCCAGTAATTTATCAGTATAGGAATGGACAGCCTGTTGTTTATTATGCATTCTTCTGTGATCTATAAATCTGTACTTTACGTACAGACAACATATATGGGAATGCCTATTATAAAAATATATATTTATTAACTATTTTCTTCTTAGTAAGAAACAAAAGTTTCATTTATACATAGAATGAACTTAACATGATTATATCTTAAGGATGTTTTGAATATTTCTTAAACATAAAGATATATAGTATATACAGTATATTACAACTTTAATTGCAGAATAAGCTTTTGTTAATGTTCATTTCTGGACGTACTGTCAATAAACGTTTCAGGTTCACATTTCATAGTAAGAGGATCATTTTTGAAAGGTCAAGTTTGCCCTCTGTGAAACATCATTAAGATGGTTATTTGTGTTAATTAAAACTGTTACTTTGTAAATGTATCGACTGTTAATTGAGCAAGTAAGTAAAATTATTTTCCTGACTAGCTAGAAATATAGAACATTTATCAAAATAAACATTTCAAGATGTACATTTCGAAATTAAATGATCTAAAATAAACATTGCAAGATGTACATTTCTAAATTAAATTATCTAAAATAAACATTGCAAGGTGTACATTTCGGAAGTAAATGATCTAAAATAAACATTGCAAGATGTACATTTCGAAAGTAAATGACCTAAAATAGACATTGCAAGGTGTACATTTCTAAATTAAATTATCTAAAATAAACATTGCAAGATGTACATTTCGGAAGTAAATGACTAAAATAACAAAACGAGTTAACGTTATATACCAGACCTATTACGTCTTATTTATAACACGACAACATTCCAATGTTGTATATCTCAGTCGTCTCATTTTATTTAGATTTATTAAGCTAGCGAGGGAAGCTTGTAAGCTAGCGAGATTTTATCATACAGAGTCGATATTATGCTCATACGCTTTGCTATGTCATCCAGTCGGAATAGTATAACTGGTCCGCGAGCTTTACTGTAGGCTATATAATTTAAAATTTAGTTTTACACACATTTGAATCCTATATATAACTTAATAATTACTTTTTGTTAAAGAATAAACCTCAACAAGTCCATTTAGAATAAAAGTCCATACATCAGTGGAAGTCTGTTTGCTTCGGATATTCATATAAAGCTACAGAAGAGTTTCCGAAACCACCGATAAAAGTACTGTTATTATTTTCTACTAATCATTCTCTTATATAAATGCCCATTAGATTAGAAAGTTATTATTTACTATGAAGTGACCTTAGTGAGTTAAACTGATAGCATCAATTTGAAATCAGGAACAGTTATCGTAGAAAGCCCTTGAGTAGCTTTGGGCGAATATCCGACAACAAACAAACAATTAACTAATAACCGTTATAACTACATGCCGTTTCGGCTTAAAGTGTTATAGCGAAACTGAATTCTTGAAACGTTTCCAGTTTTTAGCTGCGTAAATATACCTTGTGTAGCTTCTCGCGAAAATTCTAAAAGCAATAAAAAAAGCCAAAGAACGTGATATTGTCCCCTAGTGGTTAAAGTCGTAAATTCGTCTGGTACGGATCACTAGATCGTATGCTTTTAGTTACAAGGTTTAAACTAGTAATTTTGATACAAAAAAGAGCTTTTGTCTTAGATATTAGACCAATCTTCACATGGAAAATTTCAGCCTTTTTTCCCCCTTTTTGGGGATCGCTGGCTGTTGTTTAGTAACTTTCATAGACGGAATGGTAAAGTTGAACCTGATTAGCCACAGTGTCTGTGTATAAAATGTGAAATCGAAATATAATAACTAAACTCTCTGAACAATAATACAATCGTGTTACTCATCAATAAAGAGAACTTAATGCCTTTAAATTGAGTTTATGTGTAACATAAAAGATAAGGAGGCTGTAAAGTAAGACACTGGAAATTATAACTACATGTTTTTGGATTGAACGACATGCTTTTGTTCATTGGGTTATATTCAATACGCTTGTAATTACAGAAAAAAAGGAGCAGTTTAAAGCAGTGTATAAAATTAAAATGTTCTGACACTTTGTTCCTTTTGTTGTTGTTGTTTTTAGTGTTGACATAAAATCTTCTTCGATTCGCTGAATTGTATTTTATTTGAATACAAACAATCGAAGCTGTGCCTTGTGTGTTATCAGACCAATATGAAGCTTATAAAACTGACTAGTTCTGACAAAATGTCTTCTTCATAAAAGTATGGGTATGAAAATTAGCGTACGTCATCTTAAAAAACTCAGTTGAGGCTCTATCGAATGTTTTCTCAGTAAACATAGACGTCATTTTAAAAACTAAGCTGAGGCTCCATCGAATATTTTCTCAGTAAACATAGACATCATTTTAAAGAAACTCAGCTGAGGTTCCATCGAATATTTTCTCAGTAAACATAGACATCACTTTAAAGAAACTCAGCTGAGGTTCCATTGAATATTTTCTCAGTAAATACAGACATCATTTTAAAATATTCAGCTGAGGCTCCATCGAATATTTTCTCAGTAAACATAGACATCATTTTAAAGAAACTCAGCTGAGGTTCCATCGAATATTTTCTCAGTAAATACAGACATCATTTTAAAATATTCAGCTGAGGCTCCATCGAATATTTTCTCAGTAAACATAGACATCATTTTAAAATATTCAGCTGAGGCTCCATCGAATATTTTCTCAGTAAACATAGACATCATTTTAAAATATTCAGCTGAGGCACCATCGAATATTTTCTCAGTAAACATAGACATCATTTTAAAGAAACGCAGCTGAGGTTCCATCGAATATTTTCTCAGTGAACATAGGCGTCATTTTAAAAAATACAGCTAAAACATTCCAATCGGGCATTGTCTTACAGTGTGAGTTCTCTGTGAAACCAGTAGTCCAACTTTGGCATGTGGCGGAGATATTAGGTGTTAGTTAGTCTAGTAAATCTAAAGAGGTTATCGATTAGGCCCGCCTTATTTCATGGATCAATGTCAAGTGGTATAGAAACTTTTCTCATGCACTCAAATCTTTCGGTTGAATTTTGTAAAAAGCAAGTTCGTCAATATTTAGTATTCTGTAAAAATTCGATGGTAATATACTACGATTTTGTTACGCAAAGTTGCACAATGAGCTGTCTGCGTTGCTTCCGCAGCGAAAATCGAACTCCTATCGTTCAAGTTCACCGCTGAGCCACCAGGGGACTTATTCTTTTATTTTATACAAAAAATAGTACATTTGTTTTACAACATAACTATGGCTCAATAGCTATTCAACAATAATAAGTCCAGAAAATATGAGGACTTCGTCAGTCCTCAGTTTTTGAAACACAGTAACTATCGGGAACAATGTTTTTAAATCATGAGTAAAAGTAGACCACATTGAAAAATATTAAAATAATACAAATGCAGTACCAAAACTACGTACAGCCTATATATATATATATATATACCAACAACACCACAAGCAGTTAGATTGTGTTGGTTTCGTATTTCAGGATTCTTATTGATACTGTCTGGAAGTTTACATAAACAGTCATATATTTATATGTTCCTATTTATAGCTTCTTTATAAATCAGCATTAGTGGGATTCTGTACAAGCTAGTATACTGTAATTTGGAAATAAAGAAATTCCAGTAAAATAATCACGGAAATCTTACCAACTGAACTTACATTTTCTACTGTTTTCCTCTCTATTTACATACTGTGATATACACAACAATCCACTAGTTTTTGAACCGTACGAATAAGCAAACAACGAACATCCTACAAGTTCATTTATCCATTTTTATTCATAATAAATGCTTGTAGAGCCTGATGACTCCAAAATCGCTACTGAGGTACCTGAAAAGGCTTCTTGACGGTCATTAGACCGAGTAAAATACTCTGATGCCCAAATTTTGAAACAAGAAATCTGTATCATGAACAAACCTTTCAAGCTATTGGTTACTCTAAGCAGTTTATTAAACAGCCACTCCAAAAGAAAATTGTCACAGACGTCCTCGGGAAGAACATTCTTAACCATTTGTATCCAAACTAAGGTAAAATCTCAGGAGGATTTGCAAGAATTTCATAATCAAAGTTTCAAATGTGGAAAAAGTCTTCAAAATGGCCTGACAGAAGCAAAACATGTAATTTACATCTGCGGTAAAATTTTTCATTGAAAAAACAGGAAGAATAAATCATAGCCTAAAAGAACATGTTAATCCAACAAGGCTCCTGCACCCACAAGAATCAGCCATACTTCAACACTCTTACAACACAGAATGATAATTTAAATTAGACACTTACCAGACTTTATATACTGAAGAATACTGGAAAAATTAAAAAATAAGTAATCTCTCGAAATATATATCAATAACCAAACTTTATACAGACGTTTGACAAAAACAGAATTCAACAGCCCCCTCAGTGACCAACCAAAGTTCACTACAGCTGAAGCCCTCTTTCGGGGCCGCTCTATTATCTTACACTTTCTCCCTTTTTCACAAACTGCTGATCTGATGAA